AGGGTCGAGGCCGGGTCCCCCCGGTGCCGCTCCCGGTGCCGGCCCTGACGCCGCCCGTGCCCCCCCAGGCCATGGCCGCCCCCCGCCCTCCCCGGGTGGTGCCGGGCGAAGCCTCCGAGAGCGACTCGGAGCCAGAGCTGCTGGTGGAGACGGGCGGGGAGGCCCCCGCAGCCGGGCTGAAGGTGCCGGGCGAAGCCTCCGAGACGGAAGAGGAGGAGGAGGAGGAGGAGGAGCAGCAGAGGCCGAAGACGCCGCCGGTGCTGGCGGAGGAGCCGGCGGCCGTGTGGGCGGGCGGCCCCTCGCTGCTGCAGCAGCGGCTGCGGGAGGGCTCGGCGCGGCTGCGGGCGGCGGTGGGCAGCGCCCTCCGGCAGAGCTACGGCGGCGCCGCCCGCAGCCTGGGCGGGCTGGAGGGAGCGCTGGGCCGGGCGCAGGTGACCGCGGCTGCGGCCGCGCACTGCCTGCGCCTGGCCCGCCGCGACCTGTGCGCCGTGGCGGACACCATCGACATCGTCACGGCGTGTCAGCTCCTGCCCGACATCCGCGGGCAGCTCTGACCGGCACCGCGTTCGGCAGCCCCGCTGCGGCTGGCACCAGCACTGCTGTCCTCGGCATCGCCACTTGTATCTGCCGCGGCAGGGTCGTCAGTGCAGCATCCTGCTGAGGCTTGAGTTGTGGTGACATCGAGTCGTGTTTGCAGCACCCCGCACTGACCCTGAAGACCTCCTCACCACGGTGGCATCGTCACCAGTGTAGCCACAGTGACACCAAACAGTGGTTTTGGCACAGAGACCGCCAGCCTGGTGCCCCAGGACCTGCGTGCTCCCCTGGCCAGCTGCCACCATCCCTGAACTGCAGCCTGGTGCTGGCTTGTCACCGTTGTCCCCAGATGCCGCTGTTTTATGTGACATGGAACTGAATAAAGCTGTGGTGGTGTCAGAGCTATAGTGGGGAGCTTGGCCAGCACTGTGAGGGCAGAAGTGTTGCAGGAGCTGGACAGAGTAGGGTGACATGGGTGCTGGTGTCACATTTGAGTTTACTGGTAGCCCAGGGGATTAAATTGGTGGCCTGGGTTGTATTCCCCATGTCCCCAAGCACTGGTACTGTCACCATCTTGCGATGTCCCTGGTGCCCCCAGCCCCAACACTGTGTCCCCCCCTGGGGACACTGACCTCGCCCCATCCCAAGAAGGACACTTGGCTCTGGGGCCAAAGAAGGGTTTATTTGTGGGGACATTTGTACCAAAACTCCAGAGGACACAGGGAGAGGGTGTGTGTCCCTGGAGGGGGGTCACATGCAGGTGTTCAGGCTGTCCATGTACTCCTGCAGAGCCTGCAGCCGGGCATCGATCTCAGCCAGTTCAGCTGAGGGCTCCTTGGAGCGGTTCTCTGGGGAGGTCAGTGCAGGAAAAAAGGGTTAACAAAGGTCTGGATTGGGGTATCCCTCAACTATCTAGGGGCTCAGGTAGGGCCTCACCTTTACCAGGGTGCTTGCCAGCAGTCCTGCGCACCGGCAGCTTGTGGCCGGCAGCTGGGCGAGGCACCTGGGGGGAGGTTGGGGTCACCAGTGACCTTCTGGTCCCCTTGCTTTGGGATGAAGAGGGGCGGGGGAGCCCCAGAGGGGCAGCCACTCACCACAGAGGGGCCATTGCAGAGCGAGGTGCTCAGGGGTCTCCGTGTACGGGTCACTCTCCTGTCCCTGCCCAAGGGGGGTGATTAAAGGGTGCTGGAAGGGATTCCCAAGCATCCTGCCCTACCCCAGCATTACCTGCAGGGCGCGGGCTCGGGGCGCTCATGGCCTTTGCTGCCAGGGCTCCCTCCCAGGCGCCAGCTCCGGGAGCTGTCAGCTGCAGGGAGAAATGGGGGTGGGGGAAGCTGAGGAAGGAGCCCCAGCACGCAGTGGGTGCACCCCCAGCCCTCCTCCTGCCCCCACTCACCAGACGAGCTGCGCTGGTGGCTCCTCGCTGGGCTGCTGCTGCCAGAAGCCACTCCACGCCGCTGGCTGCACCCAAGGGAGATGGTGGTCAGGGGGAAGATGGGGCTCGAGGGAGGAGGAGACCTCCGAGTACCAGGGAGGGATGGTGACGAGCTCTCAGCACCGCTTACTTTCTGAGCTCAGCTTCCTTCTGCCGGTGCTGTCGGGCCCTGACAAAGGCAGTGGGGTCGAAGCGTGGTGGGCGGGAGCCTGGCAGGGGAGGCAGAGGAGGGGGTCAGGGTGAGGAGGGAGCGAGCCATGTTCTGTCTCCACTCCTGGGTGTGTGCTCCCAAGTGTCCCACACCTGCAGGTGACAGGGACTTTGGCGAGGGGTGGCCCCGGCTGCTCCTGTGGCTCTCCAGGGATGCCGAGCGTCGCTCCCGGGCACGTGGGGCCGGGCTGGCAGATTTCTGGCGGCTGCCAAGAGGACCAGTACCATCATGGGGGGACAGGGGGACACCCCACGGTGGTGAGGGTCCTCCTGTAGGGTTCACCCCAGCCTCACCCTCTCCTGCAGGAGGCCAGTTCAGCTGTCAGGTTCTTCACCCGCAGCTGCAGCTTCTGCTCTGACGCCTTTGCCTGGGCCAGCTTCGAGGGGGGAAGAAAGGCTTACTGTGCATCTGGCAGCCCCCGTCCTTTCCCAGAGCAACTCCCACCCCTCCCAGCCCACCTCTGCAGCCAGCTGCTGGTACTCGCACTGGTGCCGGCGCTCTGCTGCCCTCTTCTCCTCCAGCGCCTTCCACAGCCTGGGAGGAATGGCAGGGGGTGGTCTGGGGGTTCTTCCTCACCCTGAGAGACAGGAACCCCCAACCCCATCCTGGTGTCACCGGCCCCACTCACGCATCCCGCAAGTGCTGGGTCTCCTCCAGGCGCCGGGCCCGGAGCTGGCCCAGCTGCTCCTGCAGCTCCCGCACCAGTGCCACAAGGTCCGGCCGCCCCGCGTAGGGCAGTGGCAGCGGGTAATGGATCCTGGAGGAGAGCACGAGCAGGGGGTGAGGCTGGAGTCACTCCCCCGTGACTCCTGCCTGGTGTCCCTTGTCACCTATCGAACTCCACAGAGTAGACCAGGATGAGGTAGCGCTTGGTGTTGAGGGGGGAAGAGGTGGAAGGGGGAGGCCGGCTGATTGCTCCCACTTTCCGACTGTGCAGGGTCTCCAGGTCGGTGAAGGTGAGGAGCTCCAGGCTGACAGAGTCGCTGCTCTGCAGAAAGTTTGAGAAGCTGGAGGGTTCAGTCCAATACACACCCCAGCCCAGGTACCCCCAAAACACCGTGTGGGAGAGCAGCACAGCCACACCTGTGTCAGTGCCGACTCCAGCATGCTGCAGAAAATGCCAAACTGCTTGAAATTCCCCGTTTTGCGGGTCAGGTCCTCGATAACTGCGAGGAGCAGGGGGATGTTTTGGTCAGTGGCAGCCGTGGGAGATCCCCTCAGCCCCCAGGATCCCTCCGGCACTCACAGGCGGCATCGAACTCTCCCCTCCACAGGTCGCTGGTGCCGTGAGCCTCCACCTCCACCCGCAGCGTGCTGCGGCTCAGGGTCACCCGCACCGTGTGCGCCCCGGGCCGGAAAGCGCACTCGGCCTGCAGGTACCGCGGCTCGCCCATGGCACCAGGGGCTCTGCGGGCAGAGCGCACCAGGGCAGGCAGGGGCACCCCAGGGACACAGAGGGCACCTGGGCAGGCAGGGGCACCCCAGGGACACAGAGGGCACCCCCAGAGACACAGAGGGCACCCCAGGGACACAGAGGGCACCTGGGCAGGCAGGGGCGCCCAAGGGACACAGAGGGCACCCCCAGAGACACAGAGGGCACCCCAGGGACACAGAGGGCACCCCAGGGACACAGAGGGCACCCCCAGAGACACGGAGGGCACCCCAGGGACACAGAGGCCACCCCAGGGACACAGAGGGCACCCTCAGAGATACGGAGGGCACCCCCAGAAATACAGAGGGCACCCCCAGAGATACAGAGGGCACCCCAGAGACACAGAGGCCACCCCAGGGACACAGAGAGTACCCCCAGAGACACTGAGGGCACCCCAGAGACACGGAGGGCACCCTGGGCAGGGAGGGGCACCCCAGGGACACAGAGGGCACCCCCAGAGATACACAGGATGCCCTCGGGAAAGAGGACCCCCGCTGGAGGGCTCGGAACAGCGGAGCTCGGGTGGGCTCTGGGCTGGTGAGTGCAGAGCAGGAGCGAACGGGGAGCCCACAACGCCACGAGCGGACCCTGGAGCTTTTGTTGACTTGGGCTCTGCTGGGGGCGGGCGCAGCGCGGAGGGGTGGAGAGAATACAGAGGAACAAGGGGAGAGCCGTGCTGCCTGCGGGGCAGTGCGAATCCCAGCGCTTGGCGGGCCCGTTCAGGAGGTACCGAGGGGGGGGAAGCGGGGGTGGCCGAGCCCGCGGTCTCGCTCAGCCGAGCGAGCAGCGCGGCCGCACCGCGGGAGCCTCACCGCCCGCCGCCATCCGCCGCGCCTCGGCCGCGCCCCGCCTCACCGCCCGGCCCCGCCCCGCCCCGCCGCACCCCCGCCTCATTGGCTGGCCGCGCCGCTCTCCGCCGCTCATTGGCTGCCGGAGCCGCCCGTCATCGCAATGCCGTTAGCCGCTCTGCGCTGCCCGCCGGCCTCCCGCTGCTATTGGCTGTCCGGCGAAGCCCGCCTCCTGTTCGCGCTGCGCCATTGGTTAATGGAGCTGTCATTCATTTTGGGGCGGAGGTGGAGCCACGCCCTCTCTGCTGCCTGAGTGGGGTGGAGCCATTGATGGCGGCCGCGTCCCGTTCCCGTGTGGGATACGAACGGGATACTGTGCCCGGGACAGGACAGAACCTGAGGCACTGCAGGAGGGAAGCGACAAGAACCTCGAACCTGCTTTTATTAACCAGTGAGGGACTGCGGGATGCCCCTAGAGGCTGCAGGACTGCACTGGAGAGCCCCAGTGTTTGGGATGATCCCCTCCTGAAATGGTTGGAAGGGGCATCCCCAAGGCTCCAGAACCTTGCAGGAGGTTGGCCCCCATAAAACATTGGGGAGGAGAGTAAATACAGCCCTCAGCACACCCCAAAACCGCCCCAGGGACTTCCAGCAGCCCTTCTCAGCCTTTGTCTGGGCAGTGGGTGGCACTGGTGGCATTGTGAGCGCCCCACATCCAACTTGGGACCTTCAAAATGGCACTCCGGGCCCTCTAAATGAGTTTGAGCTTTAAAAGCATAAACCTTGCAATGTATAAGTGTGGTTTTGTAGCGCGAAAATGCCGGTTTGGAGCATAAATTGACTGTTTGGTCTTCCACGTGTAGGATTTGGTGATTTAAAAGTGATGCTGTTTCCCTTGATTTTGAGGATTGCGTTGTGTAAATAAAGGTTTGGGAAGCTTGGGGCTGAATCTGAAGAGTAACACTTTGGACCTTATGCACAGGCAGAGGCAGGATGAGAGGTGCAGGGCACAAATGCAGACCCAGAGTGACTCGGGAGGTGTTTTTGACTCTGGGGGTGACTGGGGCTCCTCGGGCAGGTTCTGGGCTCTCTGCCCTGGCAGGACTAAGAGGCCAGCTGGCCACAGCTCTGGTGGTCACCCTGGGGTTTGCTTTACTCCTAATACAAACGTGTATACTCTAACAAATATTCAATATCACATATATCATACTAGAAATGGTGCGAATTATATCTACTACACATAACACCTTGGACCCCAGCACATCCTGAAGGGCCTTGCTTCACCAAGGCCTGTTAACCCCTGTCAGGAAAATTAATCTACAAACATCAGAGGTTTATGTCCAAAAAGGAGACACAAGAGTCCTTCTACTTTATTCAAATAAAGGGAGAGGTCATGGGGCATTCCCCTGGGGTCTCTCCAGTTTCTGGAGGATGTAGCCCCAATTTTCCACATTTCCCTTCCTCTTTCCCCATTGCCTGAAGTACTTGAGAGGCTCAGACTTCCCGATGTGCCTGATACCAGAAATTTCTCTCTAATGTATAGCACTCCATTTATATTTTTAATTCCTACGGAATTTAGGGTTTTCCCCCATTGTTTCTTTCACTTTTCAATATCCCATTTATCAGCGAACCTAAAGCTTATTTGTAAAAGCAAACATCTTGTTTCCATTCATCAATGAGTGGAATCCTTCCCATTGTTTCTTTTACCTCTCAGTGCCAGTTTTACCCACCAGCAGACCCACAGCTTGTTTGTGAACACAAATCTGCTATTTCTCTCATCCCCAAGCCCCTCTGTGACCCCCACGCTGGTCTCTGCTGTGCCCTCGGGAGCTTTCCATGGGGAGGGACAGCAGAAGATCCCAGGGACCCGTAATGAACAAAGTTCCCAGTGCTGGGTGGACGGGGCCTTCTTGATTCCCATGGCAACACCGGAACAGTTGCTAGCTCTAGTTAAGTGCTGATATTGAAATATTAATTAGCTAATTGCTGTGTTTGTTTTCTCTAAACCACCTGGAGATCACCTACCCCCCCCCACCCATGCTGCCATTCTAGGACTGAGATGCAAATAGGGGAAGCCATGGAACCATAGGAGCGTGTTTTGGGGGATAAGGACACCCCTAAATGAAGAATTAAACACAGCTGAGGGGGCTGGACAGGTACGGTATGCTGGCTGAGGAAAACGCATCCCCCGATGGATGTTTGACCTGTCACCATCACCTACGGAGGATGAGACTAGAGTGGGCTGTGGGAAGCAGGAACAAAGGAGATTTTCCTGGTGTCATCACAAGGAAAGGAGAGGGGACAGCTGCTGCTGGGGATTTCAGTACCAGACTCTCGAGCTCCGTGTCGAACCCCCTGCCCAGCTGATCTTTTGAATAAAGAGCTGACCATTAACAAAGGCACAAGCCCTGTTTATTTCAGTTTATTATCTCAGCGTGCCCCCCAGGCCAGGGCGTGGAGCCTCCGGGCAGCATCGCGGAGCCGCCCGCGGTACTCGAGGCGGCGGTGCAGCCCCGGGGGCACGGCGGCCAGCGCGCCCCGCAGCCCCCAGCAGCCGGCGGCGATGGTGCCCGTGGAATCGCTGTCCCCGCCGTGCAGCACCGCCCGGGCACACAGCTCCTCCCAGCTCCCGCCGGCCGCCAGCAGCGCCTCCAGGGCCACCATGGGGGCGTCGTGGCCGCTGCGCCCCGGCCACCCGTCCAACGCCCAGCCGAGGTACTCGGTGTCCCGCTCCGCTGCGGATGCGAGGGATGGCACCCGCGGCGGGCCGCCGCCTTCCAGGAGCCCACGCGAGGCCAGGTACCTGCGGACACAGGGGGACGTGGAGGTCGCTGGGGACACCGGTGTCACCACGCAATGGGGTGAGCAGTGAACTGGGGGTCACTGGGCTGCGGCTCCCCAGCACCCCTGTGACCCCAGAGAGCTGTGGGGACACTGGGGACAGTCAGAAAAAATTGGGGGTAGCAAGGCACTGGATGCCATGGGCATTCAGTAACACCAAGAAAGCTCAATGCCCCAGGAACCCAGGGACACAAAGGTCACTGTCCCTGAGGATGACATCTCTGGCAGGGACACGAGGGACACGATGGGCACTGCCAGCCCTGTGGACAGACTGGGCATCAGGGTCAGCAGTGGCACCAGTGACACCACTGCAGTGCCCTGCCAGGACCGTCAGACAGCCTGGATGGCACCAGTGGCACTAATGGACCCCTGAGCCCTTTGCAGTATCCTCCCAGCCCCTCCTTGTGCTCCCAGAGTCCCCCCAGAACCCTCACAGTGCCCCCTCACCGGTGCCACGCCTCCCCAAAGAATGGCCAGGCAGCAGCATTGTCCTCCACGGCCACGCCGGTGCCCTCCACGTAGTCCCATGCCAGGGGCAGGACCCGCAGCAGCTCAGCCCCCCAGCGTTCTGGGGGTTCGCCCCGAGCCCCCAGTGCCCCAAAGAGGGCCACTGCCAGTGCTCCAAGGTATCCTGTGGGGACAGGGGCTTCAGGGGTGTTCTGCTGTTCCCTCCAGCCCTCCCCTGCCCGTCTGGCACTCACCGGTGGGGTGGTGGTGGGTCATGCGCCCGCTCTCGATGCTCACCCGGATCAGAGTTGGCAGCTCTGAGGCGTGTGGGTACCTGCGCTGGCATCAGACCAGTCCCCACTCCCCTGCTCCTGTATTTCCAGTCTTGTCCCCATTCCCATACCACCACCTTTGTCCCTGCTCTCCTTGTCCCTGCTGTGCCCATTCTCCCAGCCCCATCACTTCCACATCCCACTCTTAGCTGCTCTGTGACCTGTGTCCCTCTTTGTCCTTCTTCCCTATTGCTGCCCCCATGTTTTCGGTCCAGCACCACATGTCCCCAAGTCCTGGGGACCGGTGTCCCTCTTCCCTATTGCTGTCACCATGTTCTCTGCCCCCAGCTTCCCAGCTCCAGCACCACATGTCCCCAGGCTCTGGACCTTGTCCCCTCCAGCTCTACCAACTCCATGTCCCCACTCCACTCTGTCCCCATTCCTCTCCCTCTGACATCCTCATGTCCCTCTTACCCTACTCCATCCCTTCACCTCCCCTCCAGCTCTGACACTCCCATTTCCCCAGCTCACACATCCTCATGTCCCCACTCCCCCAGCTCTTATCCCCATCCCATGTCACTCCCCCTCATTCTAACATCCCCGTCCCCATTCCCCCAGCTCTGATACCCACACCCCTGTCCCTGAGTGTCCCCAGGTGTCCCTCGGTGTCCCTGTGCCCACCTGAGGCCGATGGCCAGGCTGCGCATGGCAGCCCCGCAGCCGGTGCCGCGGGGGTTGAAGGGGATGCGATAACCCTCGGGCTCCCCCGGCCGCAGCTGGGAGGTGCCTGGGGGGACACGGGGGCGTGAGGCTCCCTGAGCCCCCTGCCTCTCCCCAGTTGCTCGGGCCCTGCTCACCTAGGATGCTGCTGGGTCCGGGCTTGCGTCCCTCCATGTCCCCCATGGCGGCCACATAGCGGCGAGCCAGCTCCTGCAGGAGGGGTTCTCCCTCCAGGCCTGTGCAGGGTGTGAAGAACACACCCAGGTTACCCAGGCTGGCAGGGAGAGGCCCCATGAACCCCCCAAAACTGAAAGGGGAGAAGAAGACCCCCATTGCACCACCCCCAAAAATGTGGGGAAAGGGCACACTGCCCCACAGACCCCCCAAAACTGCAGGATAAGTTTACTGGATAATACTTGGTCTATTCGAGCTAGGTCTCATAAGCTCTCATAGACAAGTATTATACCCTTGATAGCTCAGCTACCCCAGGTGGCATAAAAGTAGTATGATGGCCCTTGTGACAGTGTTGGAAACAAAAAAGTTTCAATAAAAGGCAAAATTAAAAAGCTCTTTACAGAGAAAAACTGAGCCAGGGCAAGAGGTTCTTGCTGCTGCTAAAACACTTCACAAAAGCTATTTCTTTATTTTGTTCTCTTCTTTTCTAGTGAATTGCTTAGGCAGGACTTTTTGGCTCATGTCCAATTAGCTATCCTTAAGTTTGAGGTGAAGTCCCCAAGGTCCTGTGAGATGTCTTTTAACCAAATTGACGAGAGAGACTTTTGGGCTTTTCTCCTTTTTAAGGAGACAAAGGGTAACTTGTCTGCTCCGTCAACAGGGGCCACATTCCTACAAGTGGAGAAATGGGGACTCTTCCTGAGCACTGCAAGCTGAGTGGAAAGGGGTACCCTGCCATGTTCCCAAAGTGGGAGGGGAGTGTCCCTGTCTCCAGCACCCAGTATGGGAGAAAAGGGCACATAAATGAGGGAAACCACACAGACATAGACATACTTACAGTCCCCATGCACATAGACACACTCACAATCCCCACACCACCCACACCTAGAGGAAACAAGGATGCACATCCCCTGAAGCCTCCCTGGAAACTGCCAAAAGGTGGGGAGAGTGGAATAAAGATGCCCCAAAGCTCCCTGCAGAGCTGGACAATCCCAGCAATCCTCCAGCTTGACTCAGGGATGTCACTGGGACCTCCCCAGCATATCCTGGGGCTATAAGGGGACACCCAGCCGCACCCCCAGACACCAACCACGCAACCCAAGGAACACAACAGGGACCCCCCACCCCTTAGGGAACATTCAGTGACACCCCCCTCCAATGCCAGCCCGGGGTACAACGGGGACCCCAACCCCAGGGACCCCTCCCTTGTGTCGGTGGGGCGTCACTGAGTCCCCGCACCTGTGGCCAGCCCCTCGGCGGTGGCGAGGTGCAGGACGGTGTCATCGCTGACGGGCCACTCGGGGGGCTCCAGGCTGATGGCTGCCAGCCCCCCCAGCTCGGCCAGCTCGCCGTGGATCTGGGGGCCCGAGGTGCAGTATTCCCAGCGGGCTCCCCGGTAGCCCAGCGCGTCCCCCACCCCGCTCAGCACCATGGCTGCCTCGTAGGTCTCCACCGAGGGCACCCTGGGGGGACAGAGGGTTCAGGGGGTGCCAGTGGCGGGGGAAGCCCCAGGGGTCCCGCTGCACTCACGTCTCCTCCATGGTGCAGCAGCTGGGAACGCCTGTCAGGCTCAGGGCATGCGGCCAGTGCTGGCCAGGGGCCCTTAAGGGGACCAGAACACTCCGGGGATGTGGGGTACAGGGCTGCTGCCCCACAGCCAGGGGGAGAAAGCAGCAAGGGACTCCAGGGCCATCCTGGGTGGGGGAGGCAGAGGGAAAGAGAGGCTCCAGGGGCCCCAAATCTTTTCAGGGACAAAGCTTTAAACTGTGGCAACAAAGCGCAAAACCAAACTTCAAGGTTCAAACTGTTTTCAAAGGTTGATTTTTAGAGCCCCAAGCCCCCTATTTAAGAATGAAACCTTCTTTTGGAGGGTTCAAAACCCTCTTTTACCACTGAAGTTTCCACTGGAGTGCCTGAAGCCCTCTAGTCAGCACCAAAGCTTTGCTTCTTGGGGCCAGAGAGGATCACCTCCATTGCAGGGTCCACATGGTCATTTGTGGCATCTCACCTATTAATTTTTTTCATGCCTAAAGCCTCCAGTTTAGGCCCAAAATCCTAATTTTTGGCTCCCAACCTCTCTTATATTAGCTGTTGTTTTTTTTAGGGACAGAGTTTCATCTTTCGGATCCAAACCCTCATTTATTGGACAGAAATCCTGCCTAGGCTACAAATCCAAATTTCGATGGTCCGAAACTTTGTTTCCTTCCTAGGGTCTTAGTTCTGGCTTCCTAATCAGCTCCTTTTAGGCTACAAAGTCTCATTTTTCGTGTCCAAAGAATGTTTCAGTTCACAACTTCTCTTTGTTGTGAGTTCCAAGCAAGGCTTTTCCTCTCCAAAATGTTCTTTTCAGGCAATTTGGCTCTTTTCCCAGTTAAAAAAACCCAACCAAACAAACAAAAAAAACCCACCAACAACCAAACCTCTGTTCTTTCTTGCTTGATCACACCCTACAGAAATTAAAGTGCCACCTCAGGGTTTGCTTCTGAAGGCAAGTTTATGTCTGAATCATAACTCCAGGTTGATGATCATTAAATAATTGAATTCTCACTAATTGGTGAAACCAGGAGAGGCACCAACAAACCTTCCACACTGGGCTTCTGGAGGGCAGACTTTGACCTTTTCAAGAAGCTGATTTGGAAAGTTCCTTGGGAAGCAGCCCTTAAAAACAAAGGGATCCAGGAAGGATGGATGTACTTCAGCAAAGGAATCCTGAAGGCACAGCAGCAGGCTGTTCTGTGTGCTGGGAGATGAGCTGCTGGGGATCATAACCAGCCTGGATGAGCAGGGAACTTCTGAAGGGACTCCTGTTCTTCGTGTCCAAGCCTCACCGTGGGCGAGTGAGCAGCTGGCAGAGCTGTGCAGGTTGCTGCAGTGTTTCTCTGAGTGTTTCTTATTAGAGACTCGGAGGAGAGTCAGGGTGGTCTGCTGCTGCTCTTTGTGCAAGCTGCTCCCTACTAGAGACACTTTTGGTACTTCCTGCACTCCTCTTTTTCCTCTCTGGCATTGCAGGAGTCCGATCACCTGCTCCTCCCTCCTCCAGGCTGACACTCTGCCCTTGTCACTGCTGGAGTGGGGTGAGCCCCCTGACCCAAGCACCACTCCTGGTGTCCCCTGCCAGCTTGCTGAGCACCCTCTCTGCCCCAGCATCCAAAACAGGATCAGCCCCTGACCCTTGGGAGGTGCTGTTGGTTCCTGGCTCCATACTTGTGGTCCACCCTCAAGGCCTGGCTCTCCAGCCCTTTTCAGTCACTATTGGCACATCCAGCCCACGTCCCTTCCAGTGACTTAAACTTTATATTTAAAACAACAGATTGCTAGATGGGCACACGCAAGCACACAGCTCTCAAAATCTCATCACACAGACATCACACTGTGGGTATTTCCACCAGCTGCCTCAAAACCTACAAAGGAGGAAACACCCTGTAAATTATTCATATGATGTCACAACCCACTAGTCAGAGGCATGATGTTCACTGGAAATTGTCATCAGGCTCAACAAAGACACTGGATGATGTGTCATGGAATTCTTTATGTTTTATTGTTGTCATAACTCTGGCTACCAGCAAAATGATGCTGGCTAACAAACCCTTAAATTCTACATTAGGCTGCCGTGAGTGGTGGCTGACAAGCTGTTAATTTTGTATAGTACATTTCAATAATTTCTCAACTCCCACCACAAGCTCCCCCAAAGTGCTGGCTAACAAGGCACAGCACACTTGCACGAGCTCCCACAACAAACTTCAGTCTGGAGCAAGGGATAGAATCATTGCCATGCTTTGCCCAGATGAAGCAAGGGAGGCGAGTAATAAAGACAGAAAAGGGAGAGAGGACAAAGCTTATCACCAGTCCATAGATTCCCTGTTGATTCTAGTGTGGATGGTCTGGAGCAGGGATTGCAAGACAAAAAAAAGCCAGAGAAAAAAAAGAAAAAGAGCCAGGGGGCCAATTGGCTTCTTTTTGTAGTTAATTTGGTGCCTACCGCTGACACAGACTAATTTTTTTGTGCTGTTTTCTTTGTGCATGCTCTTTTGGGCCTCTTCTGGGAAGTGAGTATGAGTGTCAAAGCAGAGCAGGAATTTTCCTCAGCAGTCTTCTCCGACAACCTTTCCTATTGTAATAATCAGAATGTTTGAGACAAAACATACTTAGATCTGGTCCTCCAAGGACCCAACAAGGGGTGTTAATTCTGGCTTTGGCTTTTCTGCCTGCTGGTTCCAAACAAGTGGGTTTTTGTTTGTTTCAGATGCTGGGCCGCTGCATCATCCAGGCTGTGTTTGTCTGACATGCATCTCTGGGATGCTCAGACCTCCACAGCATCAGGTAAGAGTTTGTGATCTCCACAGCCTGGCTCCAGAGACTGTAGTCCTGCCATGAGGATCTGCCCAGCTCTCTTTGTACTGTCAAGGTTTGCACCCAAGCCAGGCTTGGTGCAGGTACCTGCTGGCAGATCCTGTCAGCGAGCCCTGGAGCTGTGGCATTCCTGGGAGCGTGGTCAAGGTCTAAATGACTGCTTCTCTTCCTCCTTCTTCCTGTTAAACTGCCATAGTTGGTGCTGTTGATGATCCAGCTGCAGAGATCATCGCCCCACGGTGGGGATCTGCTCCGGGCTCTCTCCCTGGCATGGTTCCTCTGACTGTGCATCTCCTTCATCCTGCCAGGCAGATCCTGTGGTGCTGAGGAACCTCTCTGCTGCTGGCTGGCCCCTCCCTCACCAAGCATGCCATGGGAATATGGTGGTGCTGGTGAGGAAGCCATCATTTCTCTTATTTTCAAATCCGAGCACCTGGAGGAAAAACAGAGTTATCTCTGCTTCAGGAATTCCTTGTAGATTCCTCTGGGATTTAGTGATTTTCTTGGAGCAACAGAGAAATTTAACCAAGGTCACCAGTGGGGAGTGTAATTAAAGTTTTCCCACCAGGTATGCCACTGTCAGAGAAAGTCCTCATCTTTTTACCCCCTATGGCCTCCACTTCACATAATCCTAGAATTTGGATGAAAGAAATCTCATTCCAACCCCCATGCCATGGGCAGGGATACCTTTCACTATCCCAGGTTGCTCCAAGCCCTGTCCAACCTGGCCTTGGACACTTCCAGGGATCCAGGGGCAGCCACAGCTTCTCTGGACATCCTGTGCCAGGGCCTCACCAGCCTCACAGGGAACAATTTCTGCCCAGTATCTAAACTAAATCTTCCCTCTTTCACTTGAAAATAATTTCCCCTTCCTCCATCACTACACTCCCTGACAAGGAGGCTCTCCCCATCTTTCCAAGGGGATCCCTTTAAGTCCTCTACACAAGCCAGCTTCAGAGAGCAGACAAGAGGCAGTTTACACAGGGCAGCACCCTAAAGCCTGGCAGGGAAAGAGGAGGACTGGAGTGGGATATTTCAGAAGTGGTAGCATTGGAGAGTGCAGGAAGAAATTGTCTCCTATGGCAGAAACACTCCGGAGGATGAGAAGACAAACAGCTAATTCAGGATAAGGAAACATTTTCTTACCACACGATCCTGGTTCTCACCTGGCATAAAACAGCAAGTAGGCTTGCTGCCCTAGAACTGTGTGGATGTCACAACTATCCACAGACTCATCGTCCATCTTGTACCACAGCCCATCGCTGGCCTGCAAAGAAAGGCACCCAGTTCTGGAGAGGAACTGCAGGGTTTCTTCATGCCTCCGTTGGGTCAGAAATGACACAGATAAATGTGTGACATACATGCATTTTCAGAAGGCTAACAACAATTTTATGAGGAACCCTTTCCTTTTTATACTTGACTTCACTACTGGTGGACCCAATTGGTCCTTTCATCAAAACACTGCCACCATTGGCTAATTAAGAAACCACCCTTTGGTGAACAACCTTATGAGGAAAACAGCTGATTACAAACAACACCTGTGGATTGTTTCCATTTTGTATCATGATTTCTCTCCAGCTCCCAAAGGCTCCCAGACCAACCCATGGGAAAGCTTTTTCTCTCTGACCAGACTGTCACATCCACATCTCCACAACACCAAAGGCAGAAAACTGCCAAACCAGGAGTACACAAAAACAAATCCAATCAAGCCCCAAAGGAGACCTTCTCCCCCAAAACCTTGGCTGCCAGTAACACTGCTGGGAAAGTTTGTCTTTCCCAGCACACATTTCTCCCTGTCAGGAGGGAAGTTGCTCTTTACCTTTGCATAGCACAAGAAGTGTCCTTCGAAACAGGTGTCCCCACTGTGAACCACGATGGCATACAGGGAGCAGAGGAGGGGTCCTCCAGCTGTGTCAGACATGTATGGCCGAAGATCCAAGTACTCAGGATACTCCACAAACTACAAAGACACCAGAAGGGCTCAGGAAGGATCCTAAGCTACCACATTAAATAGCATTCAGCACGTCATGCTTGGGTGGCAGGAAACTGCTCTGACAGAGATGCTTTGGCTGAAAACAGAGTCCTGCCTCGTCTTTTCATGGGAATTCTCCTCTCCCCAGAAGGGAATGCAAAAATCCCAATGTGAGCATCTTGTGACAGAGCTTTGGGGAATTGTCTGCTTTGGGAAGAGAAAGTT